CCATGACCCGGTGTACCCAGACTCAACTCAACTCGTGCCTTTCGACCACCTGTCAGACCTCAACCAAGCCACCGCAAGGGCGTCTGACAGGCTCAGCGCGCGCTTGCAAATACACAAGAATCCCAAGATCAACCCACTAGGAATCGAACCTAAGACCTTCCACCAAAGAGGCGGAACAATTGACCAATTGGAAAAGTGAGCTGGGATGAAAGTGAAGCCCCTTAAGGGACATTTTACCCCACCCCAGCATGGTATGTATTTTTTTAGAAGTACATCCATGACCCGGTGTACCCAGACTCGACTCAACCCGTGCCTTTCGGTGTACCCAGCATGGTATGTATTTTTTTAGAAGCCCCTTAGGCTAGTGGCTATGCCAGAGACCGCAAGAACTGACTATGTCATCAAGTTGTACAAAGACAAGGGTGCGTGACTTTGGTTTACCAAAGTCAATCGTTAGTGACCGAGATGTCCGATTCACAAGTGAGTTGTGGAAGAAGACTGCAGAACAGATGGGCAGTCAACTTCAGATGACTTCATGGAATCATCCCGAAGCCAACGGACAAGCCGAGCAAATTAACAGAGTTGTACAGCACTTGCTGAGGCATTACATCAAGCCCAACCAGGATGACTGGGATGAGCAGTTGCCTCTCATCGCCAGCCTGTACAACAATGCTGTCCACAGCAGTACCGACGTTAGTCCTAATCAGCTACGCTTGGGATGGAAGCCTAGATCAGCATTAGACTTCCTCCTACCTGAAAACCGACCCGCTGCAACTCCAGGCACACTAAAGTATGGTGTGCAGTATGAGAAGTTGCTGCAAGAAGCTGTCGAGCACATGAAGAAAGCTCAGCAAGCAATGATTGCTTCTGAGAATCAACACCGCAGACAGTCCACATTTCAGGCAGGGGAACGTGTCTGGGTCAAGACTAGTGAGTTAGGACAGGAATTCGGAAGCTCTCGCAAACTAATGCCTCAGTACTTTGGTCCCTGGGAAGTCCTGGATATAGTGGGAGATGAGATGGATGGCCCCACATATGTCATTCGTGTCCCTAGAAACCTACGCACTCACCCAGTCTTTCATGCCTCAAAGCTTGCACCTTTCGCTGAGACAGATCAATTCCCTTCCAGGAGATCGATGCTGCCCCCAACCATGCATGGTCAAGTGGACATCAACGACATTGTGGATCACAGGAATATGCCTGTTCCGAAGCCGCTGGGTCGAGGAAGACCTCCTAAACCCAAGAGAGAGTATCGCGTCAGATTCAGGCATCATACGGATCCAAAAGAAGATCGGTGGTTTACCGAGGAGGAACTGATTGAGACATCTCCTCAGGTGGTGGCAGAATATGAGAGACTGCTGAAAGGGAAGGCACCTGCGAAGTAAGCATCTCAACGAACTTTCGAAGCTAAGGGGGATGGAATGTGAGGATTGAGCCCTCAAGAAGGGGCCTTGCCATGATGTACATGTTCTTGGCTAAGGCCCCAGCCAGCCTAGTGCCCGCCCTAAGTGAAGGCGGACCAGCAAATCAACAAGAGCCCTCTGTGCAAACATTTCCCGAAGTGGGGTCCATATAGTTGCAGCACGCCAGTTGGTTGGAGTGCACCGAGTCTCGAATCTCTGCAAATGTGGAGACCCCAGRGCCTCTGAGTTAGTWAGGCCCTGGGCACTTGAACGTGAGGCCGACAATGCATGCTGGGTATAGAGGCCGAAAATGCCAAAGGGAAATCGGCCCACTATCTGAATCTGGCCGCAGGYCTTGATGAAAGAGRCGCAACTGCATTGCCCCGGGCCTCAACTGTATCRGGCTGGGTTCAGCCACTKGGGCCCGGTYGCAGGCTSAAGGGAGGCCGCCCACACGCAGCACTGGSATATAGGCAAGCAGGGCGAGTGGGCAGGGATCTTGGCCATTGCGGGCAATGCCGGCACGCTGCGCTAATGCGAGCTGCTGCGCTGCGCTAGGATGAGGTGCAAGGCAGGCAGGCRCTAGGCGGTAGGGCGCTGCCTGTGCACTGTGCRCTGGCGGCCATAGCCGGGCTGCATAGGGCRCAGGGGAGGGGAGGGTGAAGGTGGTTCTTCAGAGGTGAAGGGCGCYGTGTGGGTAACAAGGGAGAGTGTGGGTGAAGAGGACACGTACCTGGTGGAGGTGGAGGTCGGCATTGGTGTTGACATCATTACTCGCTGGTAGTCAAGTTGTCTGGTTGCTTTCATTGCTGTAGTTGTAGGCTTAGTCTGTAGAGTAGATAGGGCGCCTGGCGCCATTCACAAGAGAGAGCTACATTTGGGTTATGCTGTTGGTGTTGCCCTGTTGGGCTTGGACATTGACTCACGATTCTTCTGTATCATTCTCAAATGGATGGTTACTCGGTTCCATTGTGCTATCTGCTTTGGCTTTGACTACTTGGACTTCAGTGTGATTTTGCATTCTGGATTTCTGTGCTTCGTCCATATTCATGTTCCTTGCAAAACAAAAAGAAAAGGGAAAAAAAAAAAAAAGGCATGGGTTGTGAAAATGCACCTCATTGAGCCTTGTCATCACAAGAGTATTAGATGAAGTGGGCCACCTCTCAGTTGCCAACCGTGCATCATTCTGTACCTTGGCCCTGGAGTTATCCCTGTGAAAGGCTGCTCGTAGGGTGAACAATGCACCAAGCTCCCCACCTTGGACATGAGGTACCCAGCTGATTGTTCCATATTGGAAATGAGATCCTGCCCATGAAAGCGACAACCTCTTATGTTAGACCTTCGGGTTGATTTTGTAATAGTGCTCACATTCTCATCTCTTTGCAAGATTACTCCACTTCCTAAATGGATTGCAGTTCCTCTGTTCAGTCACAAAGTTGACCTTAACATCACAGGAATAGCATAGTGCAAGCGTCCCAGAAAGTGAAAAGATATTGATGTGACCCCAGGTAGGACAGTGCATATGAATGAGGCTAACAGCCCGAAACGCTACAGTCAAATGTAACAAGCTCCGCTCAGACTTTAAGAGTCAAAGCGTGAGTTAATATGGTGTCTGCCGGTACAAGAAAGCCCTTCCCAAGTCAGTTATGGGTCAGCCTCTGAATGTCTCAGACCCAAAAGCCCAAGCCTGAGAAAGTCGCATTCAGGCTAAGACCCAAGAAAGAAAGTGAAAGAGTCCAGTTTCCCCAGGCAGATCTACACCATTCAGGCTTGATCAACAGCCCAGCATACGTCACTTCAAGTTGCATCGTGGTCACCCTTTGCCTCATTCCCAGGCAGATCTACACCATTCGAGGCTTGATCAAAGGCCCAGCATACGTCACTTCAAGTTGCATCATGATCACCCTTTGCTTCATTCTGCATCTTCCAGCATTCATACAGTTCCCCCAGGGAGTAGTACCTTTATCCATCTGTTCATCTAGTGCCCTGACCAGTTGAAGTACATCTTCGTGGCCCATCATGATGCCTCATTCACTCTCCCACTTGCTGGCCGACGAGCTGAAACATTGACACAGCTGCCCTCTCAAGCGATGGGAGCCTCAAGGCCCTGCAATCACAGCTAGTGGGTCAGGAAGAGTAGGCTGGGCCATTGGTAATAGTCACTGGGTGAAAGTGAGGGATGCTTCGATCAGATAATTTTTGTACTGGGTTGCCCTTGCCCAGTATTGGCCTACATAAGTGGCCATAGCGCTCAAATGCTTCTGAAATACCGCAATCTTTGGGTTCTTCTTGAAGAGTAAAGGCAAATACTATGGGTGAGCGTCAACTTGACAAGTGGGGATGGTTGCGAATTATATTTTGCTCCCACTGGGGTGGCCATGAACAATCGGTATAATATGTTTTTTTCTTTGGACATTATTTGTCATTTTCACAGACGAAATGTGCCCATCTATTGCGAAATCTCAACCCTAAATCTCGACCCTAAATACTCCCACTGGTTGGGCTATTATCGTGTGGTCTTTGATTATTTCTTCCACCTTCTCCCTTGTCTATCCTCCCTCCACTCTCTTGGTCTATTGGTAACGAGATACTGTTTCGGATATCACTTCACGATAACTGGAGACTTGTGCAGATCTGAGACTACTTGTGGTTTGACGTCTGATGAGTATTACAGATTGATTGATTGATTGATTGATTAACTGATTGATTGATTGATTGGTTGATTGATTGATTGATTAACTGATTGATTAACTGATTGATTAACTGATTGATTGATTGATTGATTGATTGATTGATTGATATGATTGATTGATGTAGTTCTGATTAGTGAGCAGCAACATAATTGATAAATCAGTTAATGCAAGTTGATTGATTAGTTGATTAGGATTGTTTCCATTATCAGATCTACAGTTGTCATCAATTTCCAAGTTGCAAAAAAAAATAAAAAATTCTGCTTCTGTAATTCCGTAATGCGCTAAAATAGAGTTGTTGCAATCTGGAAATTCGCGTCAATTTAGGATTGACAATTTGACACAAGGAATTTCGCGAAATTCGCGGAATTTTAGGTCGGAAAAAACTGAGTGAGGACGCCGCCCCGGCCGGTTGGGCCTGAGGGGGGCGCCCGGGTAAACCGGACGGGCCAAAAAAACACCCAGAAATATATATATATATACATATCGTCACAATATATATATATCGTCACATATATATCGTCACATATATATCGTCACAATATATATATATATATATACTGGGGTCAATCTGCGCTCAGAGAGAGGACCCCGAATCTGCAATTAAATTTTGGGTTTGGGGGGGGGGGG